GTCAGTCTATGTGAGTCAGTTCGTTATAAGCCTTCCACTGCATAAAAACTCATCCTATATTGGTTGATTCTTGGTTCTGCCCATACTCATTGGAGTATGTAACATTGGGACATCCGTTAAAATTGGAATGATACAACGAAGATCAGCATGGCCACTGCGCCGGCATGACATCCATAAATTGAGAGAAATGGTCCAAATTAAAAGCAAAAACGAAAAAAAGGACTCTTTTTTGTATAGTTTTCGGTCTTTTTCAAATGCTTGGCGGTGTCGTAAGGTTTGGGCAAATGGAGATGGCATGGTGGGATGTGGAAATTCCTTAACTCCTCTCCTAAACCACCACTCTACCCGCCTTCAAAAAATGGGGGGACCGGTAGCACAGTTTCATGAGGGCTGCCATTAGCATAGTGTGAGGAATTGGCTGAATCGCAAAAATGGAAAATGCGTCAGATTGCCGCCGCGAGTTTTTTCACGGTTAGAATGTTTTTTTTTCTTTCATTTCTTTAGTATTTTTCCTGGAAAGATCATAAGGAAATCTACGGACCCTCCAATAAATTCAGAAGATTTCACTCATTCTTCTGATTGAGAAAAATCACTGAAGTTGGAGCACTTCTTCTACTTCTTCTATTGGCCCACACATGGTAGAGTGCCAAAAATGGAAATGTGTGGAATAGGCGCAGCAATTATTTCACAGCCAAACTAGCTTTCCAGCCCGCGCCCGGGGTACCCCACTGTGCCCGCAATGGCGCCAGGGGCGCCCGTCCGGGCGACCCCCGGCACCCGGGTGCCTCTCGCACCGAGGCAGAAAGAGCCTCAAAATTTTTTTTTTGTGCCGTATTCCGAACGTGCCAACTTCTTTTTTGGCGGTCGGTGCGTTTTTTTGGGGGGTCCGGTAGGCCCTGTTTTGTAGGTTTTTTTTTTGGGGGGGGATTCTGGCCATCAATCTGCATCGATCGACAGCGCGCATTGATCCAGGATTCTTCTTCTTTCTTCTTTTTCTTTTTCTCTTTCTGCATTTCCTCTTTTTCTTCTTCTTCGCCTCCCTCCTCCCTCCTCTGACATGGTGCTCCCCCCCCATCACCTCGTCCCCCCCCTCCTGCCTTCTTCCTCCTCCCTCCCTTCTCTCACGCGGTGTTCCTCCGTCCTCTCTCCCTTCTCGGACATGGCGCTTCTCCCTCCTCCCTCTGACTCGGCGCTCCTTCATCCTCCCTCTGACGTGGTGCTCCACCACAGGCCGGACACAGCAGCTGCTGTATCCCCCACCCCGCAAACGGGCAGTCGATAATCCAGACCCCTCCTGCACGCCCTTCCCCCCCCAACACACAGAAATCGACATGCATGAAAATAAAAAAAGAGGCCGGATTTGGGCACTACTCCC